TCTGTGCAGCATTCTGTTCCTGCAAAGGCCAACCAGAAGCCCATTAGCAGAATAATAAGGCAATAGCATCCTCTTGCTCATATTGTCCTAGCAACGGATACTCACATACATATTCCCTGTGATCATTTATACCCATTTTGACTAGTAGACACTGATAGACTTAGCCTCCATGAATTGATCTAATCCTCCTTTAACATTGCCCAAGTTGGGGACATTACTACATATTGTGGGAGCAAATTTCATAGAATTGCTGAAGGAAATATGTTTGTTTAATCTGTCCTGATCATCTATCATTCACCTGCATTGGAACCATAGTTCTAGTATAATGAAAGAAAAGATACTCTGTCCATTTTGTCATGTTGCGTAACTTTACATTGGCCTGTCCTTATTCACCTTTTTCTAAGTCAATAAGCTCCAGATCTTGTAATATTTTCTTATTGGGCTCAGAGCTGGTTCCATGGGTATTCTTAACTGTTTTACTGTTGCATTATAAGACTTTTGTGTACATAATATATATTTGTATAGAGAGATCTACACAGAATGAAGGCATTGGGTTAATGGATTAATTCAGGATTTTTGTACATCTATGCCTTGCTTTATAGGATGCAAAATAAAATGAATAATCTTGTAGGGATATCTGTATTTAGAGCGTTCTGGTCTTCAAAACGTATTCCTATATTTATAGTTCATTTGCACAGCCATGAAATCTAATACATACATGCACACAAAGAACCAGTGTGGGATAGTGGTTGAGATGATGGACTAGGATTGGGGAGACCCAGGTTCTAATCCTCCCTTGGGCACAGAAGTCATCTGGGTAACTTTGGGCCAGTCATTCTCTCTCAGTCCTATACTGAGAATTTGAAAAACAATTATCTACCAACCCACACTGGACAAATGTGGTAGATTATGGCCCATAACCTTCAATACAGAGGCCTTGATACTGCAGTGGATTGATTTGGGCTGATAATATATGTACACACATATACACACATTTTGAACTGGCTCCAAGATTTGTTTCAGAAACATATGATATTGTTTAGGATTGACCCATCTGTGTATTAAAGTATATATGAAAAATCAGTGCAGGTGATGCTTTAGATATAAAGGAAGGAATCCCATTCTCTTTCAATGGAAATAAGGGGTTGGGGATACATGAATTCCAGCAAATTAATAATTTACCTTCTGAAACCAATGTATTCCTAAAGTACATTAAAGACTTACTTTTAATCGGACTTGGGTCATTTCACCAATAACAAAGGAACTTGTTGGTTGTTGACATAACAGTCTCCTAATCTTTTATCAGTCTGACTGACAGCCATTACATCAAATAAGAACAACATTCACCAACCTTATTAAGTGGCAGAATAGGAATGGGGATGCCAGCATATTTTCCTGCCATCTCAAGGAGGCAGATAGCACTTTCACTCAGCTGTGAGGAAGAGCTCTGTGGCTTCCATATTTTATTTTTATTTTATTTTTATTTATTTAATTTGTCCCCGCCCGTCTCCCCACAATGGGGGACTCTGGGCGGCTTACAACATACTAAAAAACATGAATAC